ATCATGTTCCTTAATGCAGATTTTAAGCAAAAGAAGTTTTCCACTGCTAGAGTTAGGTGCAAGCTTTTTTAAACAGAACTGCAAGAAAATTACAGGAGTGAGACGTGTGATCAGCAATTCAGCAAACTCTTTTTTTCCAAGCCTCTACATTTGTATTCCTCATCTCCATAGTGCCCCTGGACAATACTCTTCAAAAACATATAGTTTGCTTCTTTGGAAATGCAGACAACACCTAGCAGTGTCTTAATTTGTTGTTCTCAAACACCCTCATTAGAATTCTTACAGTTAAGTTACAATTTTCTGAAAGATATTGCTTTCAGGCCTATAGTTACTGGTTAATAATTGCATCCTCTCATCAAACACTCAGGCTTAAACAAACAAGGAAAAATCCCAGGCAATTGCTCAATGCAGTTAAATTTCAAGTCTCACATTTCAAACAACACTTTGGGCAGGAACAGAAACAAATCTGTATTGCTGCCCAATCTTCAGTCACTTTTGGTGCTTGTGAACTCGGTTTTACATTCTGTCTTTGCGTAATTTAGGTTTGTCGTATATTGTAATTATTTGGGAACTTGGAGTAATAAACTGTAGTTTTCAGTTTGTAAAGCCAACTATTCTATTTAACAAAAGTCAAAAAGTCATTCTGAGCAGTGGACTAACAACAGCTTTTTCAAACAAGTATGTGAAGTTAAATGAAGTTAAATGACTCAATCAACTACCTGGGAGATAATGACTGAGTGGTTACAAAGCAAAGTTTTATAATATACAAACAGAAGATCAGGGCCACTAGGTGGAATCCAGAAGACGAAAAGTCACCCCAGCTGAAGAGTGGTAGTTTAGTTTTTAAGAATTCTCCAGAATGTGAGAAGGTAGTTTGAAGGCTGTGCGAATTTATAGAAATCTCCAGTCTGTAAGAATTGAAAAGACCAGGACCGGGGTCAGTCAGGGCAGAGGCAGTGGGAGCACAGAACAACAAAATGAACCTCAGGGCAAACAGTGGCAGGAGCTAGTGGATAATCACCTCAGGAGTGGGGTCAGTCAGGGCGGGACAGGGGAACGGGTCAGTCAGAGTGGTGACGGTGTCGGGAATGAAGCTAAATCCAGAGACGGAGTTCTGGAGGTGACATTACAAAAGTGACCTGGCTGTTCAGGGAGCAGGTCTAGTGACTGGGTGAGTCATACACAGAGGGAGACAGACTATAAAAAGGAGCTACTTAAATCATTGGAGTTTGTTAAGAATAGAGAGCAAGGGTGAGAAATCTGGTGAATAGTGGGGAAAAGTTGGGTAACTGATTCCTAGATTATTGTCTGTAGTTGATACGGTTCAAAATGGCAGAAGAACTCAGCCCTTGGAATACTCCTCCTGCAATATGTGGGAAACCAGTGTCCATGGTAATGCGAATGCAGGAAGTATGTTCAGCTGCAGCTTCTAATTTGCAGCATGGAGTGGATGGACTGACTACAGAGCATCCATGAGGCTGAGAATGTCATGGATAGCATGACATTTAGCGAGCTGGTCACACCACCAGGAAGGGTTACACAGACAGAGAAGAGTTGGGTAAACACCAGGAAGACAGGTAAGCGTGGGCAGGCAGCGCAGGAGTACCCTGTGGCCATTCCCCCGTCAAACAGGCATTCCACTTTGGGGCGAGATCGGGGAAAGCAACAGCAGCAGATAGATCCATGCCACCACGACTGGCAATGTTATACAGCAGGGAAGGTCAAATTACAGGTGAGCAGTAGTGACAGGGGACTCTATAGTCAGGGGCACATGTAGGCATTTCTATTGCTGTGCAAGTGACCCCAGGATGGTGTGTTGCTTCCCTGGTGCCAATGTCAAAAAGCAGGCACAGAATATTCTGAAAGGGGAGGGTGGTCCATGTTGGTACTAATGACATTGGCAGGAAGTGGGAGGAGGTCCTGCAAAGGGAATTTAGGGAGGTAGGTAGATAGGAAGTTGAAAAGCAGAACCTCTGGGGAGGTAATCTCATGTTTTCTTCCGGTACCACGTGCTAGTGAGGACTGAGACAGGAAGATAATACAAGAGCTGGTGTAGGATGGAGGGATTCAGATATCTGGAATACTAGCATCTTTTCCAGGGCAGGTGAGACCTATGCAAGAAGGATGGGTTGCACCTAAACTGGAGGGGCACCAATATCCTTGCAGGGAGGTTTGCTAGTGCCACTTGGGAGGGTTTAAACTAGAGAGGCAGAGGTTTGGGAGTCAGAATAGTCAGCAAGTGGAGTGTCTGAAGAGAAAAGAGGGGCTAAACCAAGTAAGTAATCAAGAAGCAGAGAAGAGTAAAAACAAAAAAATTAGGAGGCTAAAAGGTGCCATGAGGTGTCCTTGGCAGTTTGGAATCTCAACACATTTTATACTTATATAAGGAGCAAGAGGGTAACCATGGAAAGGGTTGGTTCACTCAAGGACAAAGAAGAGAATTTATCTGTGGAGCCAGAAGAAGTGGGCGAAGTCATTAATGAGTACTTGCTATCAGTATTCACCTTGAAGGATACGGATGATGGGAAGTTTAGAAAGGGGTTTGTTGATACTCTATAACCCATGTCAATATTTAGGAAGGCTCAGAGTTATGCAGCACGGAAGCAGATCCTTCAGTCCAACACGCCCATACCAACCAGATATCCTAAACTGTCTGTAATGCTTGCAAAACAAAACTTTTCACTGTACTTAGGTACACATGATAACAATAAATCAAATAATCTGACCCATTTTGCAGTATGTGGCCTGTATCCTGTAAACCTACCGATTGATGTAGGCATCCAGATGACTTTTAAATGATGTGATGGTATTCACCTTCACCACTTCCTCTGGCAGCTCATGCCATACACGTACCACTCTCTGCATGAAAAAGTTGCCCCTCAGGTCTCTTTCAAATCTTTCTCCCATCACCTTAAACCTATGCTCTCTCATTCTGGACTCCTGTACACTCGAAAAAAAATCTTGGCTAATAATCCTATCCATGATTTTATAAACGTCTATAAGGTCAACCCTCGATCTCCGACACTCCATGGAAAAAAAGCCCCAGCCTATT